CTGCATCCGGAGCAGTTCCCGGTGCATTTCGAAGGCCGGCCTGGAAGAATTCAGGGATAGCCCAAGGAGTTGAATATCTTTCCCTCCACACTAACATGAAAATCCACTGTAGATCATTGTCCTATGGAAACTATGTGTTTTTCTTTACATGTTACTGTAGTTTACCCCGTTTGACCTATGGTAATGATGAATTTGGGTGGTATCATATGGATCTGTTTGATTTTCGAACATTTTTGGGATGCTGATCACTGATAAATGAGATGTTCTAAGGGGTTAAACCCGCCAAGCAGTTGTGCAGTTGAAGGTCTATTTATTAAGCTCCTGGAAAATTGCACATGGCATGAAAGCATCATCAGTTCTGATGTCCAACTCAAGACCTCAAAACCTGGCCAATGTTTTGGCTTTGCTAGGCAGGACCTATGATTTGCAGTACATTACCTTCAAGTCTCCTTCAGAACATACTGTGCGGGCCTTGAGGGCACTGGGAACACTGCATTTATCGCACCACCATAAAAACCTGTTAGTCATCAATTGGCATTATACAATGTTGGGTGGTTTGCCCGGTTACCCGCAAGAACCACAAATCACCCCTGCTTCGCGGTTCAAGGATAATGCCTTCAGTGGACTGTCATGAGATTCATGGGATGCACAAAATTAAGCATCTCCCCCTGAATGGGTAAAATGACTCTCCGGATCGAAAGCCTGGTGTGGGACCTGTTCCCTTTGATTGTCCATATGGATCAAAATGGAACCATATTGGAGTAATCCCACCATGAATGATGGTTTATCTGTGTTTGCGTAAGGATAATAATTGCAACATATTTCAACATTGGTTTATTTGCACTTTAGGAATGTTTCGGAACTGTATATAATAGTGGTCCCAGATCCCTTGTAATCCCAATACTACTTGATCATCTTGATCGTTACAAAACATCCCAACAAAAGCCAATCCAGATCCAATTCCTGTTCCTCCAGGGCTGGTGTGTTCTTGTTGCCCCGTGCACAGGTGGAAGGTGCTCATAACGCCATGGAGGTTCAGTTGTACCATGAGGAAAGCGCCTTTTTTCTTCAGGCCCTTGGAGGATTCATCAGGGCAGGACCCACCAGTGTCATCAAACATGGCTGGGAAAAGCCTGAACTAAATGAAGGTTGGAATGGGTCGGAAAAGCATCAAATTAAATGCTGGATTTTTCATTGCCATGTTTGATGACCAGAGGGTAGGGGTTTTAGCCATCAGATATATATATATAATTATATATATGGCATTCTAATTGCAAGCAGGTCCTTTCCAATTGGGTTCTGGGGCCTGGACACGGCATGTACTTCTAGACATCCATTGCTCGGCCGCGCGTTGTTTTCCCCACAAAAGCGCTGATTGCATGGTAATCCACACACAGCTCAGCTAACTGTAAACCACCTGCTAGATGGATATTTCAATCCATAGCCGGTAAACCCAAAAGGTGATCATCTTTGATCCATATAATATCCATATATCACAGAAACCTGCGGCACACGGGGAGATCACTCAACCCTTCAGCGATGATGTACCTCAGGTAAAATCAAAAAAGCAGGAGCACCATTTAAGTTGGTTAATGGCTACCAAAACTGGAGCATTGCAAATGCAAATAGAGTTGCTTCTTCCGCTCTGCATATGCATGAGCTTTCCAGAACCATGGGTCATCAGGATTCTGCTTCTTCGCAAACTTCCAAGCACTGGAGTAAACCTTAGATATGAATCTCAAATTAAAAATCCGCCCTCCATTCACTGAATGAGAGATGCGCGTCAGCGTCTTTGTCAACTTTTGTTTTTGACAGTTTTTGCAACCAAAGCGCAGAGGCTAGCTTCTTCTCCATGGCTAGTGGGTCATCCTTGTTGCATTTTTTGGGGCTTGCTTTCTTCTTGGCTGTTGCTTTGCCAGTCTTGTTGGGGTTTGCTTTCTTCTTGGCTGCTGCTTTGCTTTTGGGGCTTGCTTTGTTCTTGGCTGCTGCTTTGCTTTTGGGGTTTGCTTTCTTCTTGGCTGCTGCGCGGGTCTGGTCCTTTGGTTTCGTCTTTGGGCATGCTTCGGGGATCTTTGGTGCAGGGCTACGCGCACGCGTGCTTGCTGGGGTCATGCGGGCAGGAGACAGGGTATCAAGCTGGGTCGGTGGGATCTCCTCCTCATGTTCACGGTTTGGGGTTGCTGGGATTTCCTCATCGAAAAGCTCCTCCTTCTCCTCAGGGATTGGGGGCATGGCTGCGTTCAGCGAGGCTGTCTCAAAAGCATTGGCTGCACTGACATCGTTGTCCCACAAGCCAGTCTTGCAGGCAGGTTCTTCCTCGGTGGTGTCTCCAGGGCCTTAGCTGTTCATCCTTTGATTCGGAGCTACAAGTGATGGCTTGTCTAGCGCGATGAGTAGACTCAATGCTGGATCCTGCTGAGATTTGGAGCTAGAAGTGATGGCTTGCCTGGTGCAATGACTAGATTCAATACCGGATCCTGCTGAATGCAGATGGGAAACTGCCATCCGCACGCGTCCAAACCTCCGAAGTAAACGCCTGCATCATGGAGAAGGTGCATTATAAATTGAATAATGCCCTTCCACAAGATAAGGGATATGAATACTGAAATCACCATTTGATACCATTTGATTACATGCTGTGTGCTCCCCCCATATGATCGCTGAAGGGTTCACCAAGTCAGCAATAATTTTACTTTGCAGAATCCGTTGGTGGAATCACCATGTCCTCATGTGTAAAAAAATGCATGATTTGGGGAACTTCTCAGGCAAACTTCCAATAACTGGTGTACATAAGTTACCACTATGATGAAATATTCTTGAATAATATTCAAAGCTTATTTGCGTTAAGTATTAATTGTTCATTGCTACACTTACTGATCTCCTATTCTGGGATAAGTCATGGTGGTGATAATAAGTTATTTTGGGTGATAATTGTGGTGGTGACAATCGTGGTACTAATTTTGGGGTGGCAACCCCATGAAATAAACAACCCGGCCTCATCCGCCGCTTCCTCATGCAATGCCGCGCCAGCGGAATCGTCCTGGCAGAAAGAGGCCAGGAATTTCTGGGGGAAGGTTTGTGTAGTAGCGGGCCTTGTTGAGACCGCTTTCACGATCAATGAACGCATCCCACCCATAATCATAGTCGTTGTTCATCACGGTGTCCATCCTGAGAAATCGATGGATATCTATTGGTCTAAGGTTGATGGGACAGCCTGGGTTGATAGGATCATCACCATAGGTTGATTGGGATACCCATAAGATTGCCATGATTCTGGAAAACTAAGCCTAATTGATTTATGACTCTACGACCAAGGAACAGGGCATAGAGAGCATCAACGTTCTCTTCCACCTGACAGGGCTATTGAATTATCATTTCTCATTATTCAAAAATTTTATGATAGTGATGTATGACATCTAAATCATAACACTCAGATCTGATGATGGTGGCACCCTATGATTTGAGAAACATGTTCGGGCCACCCTCTGGCCTTGTTCTCCTTTGCACTTGCTGGCTTTTTGCGACTACTTGTTTTGGCAGCAGCCGGACGCTTGATGCCAGCCTTCGGTTTCAAATCCTGGGGGATGCCTGAATCACTTGCAGACGGGTCATCTCCATGATCATCATCATGTTTTTTTTTCCCCCCAAGTGGTTGATGCTCATGGTCGGTGGTATCATCATCTTTCCCTTTCACTGCATGATGAGATGGTCTTTTCATCACACCCTTGTCTTTCCTAGAACCACGGCCTTTGCTGGCCTGATCCCCCTCAAGCTTTTCACCTGATGATTCATCAGATACCCTTGGTGGAAGAGCATGGGAGGAGGACGAAGCTCCTTCCACCAAGAATAGGTAAAACACATGAAACCACCAAGTATGTTGAATCAAAAGGTGAAAATGCTTTCAAGTACATATGAACTCTGGATATGCGAGACTGTCCTGACAACATCGCAGGCCGTGGCAACGAGGCTGACTTTGGGACAGAGGCTGACTGTGTGGGCGGTGGGCTGGCAGCAGCATGTCCCAAATCTTCTGAAGCCAGCATTCGGCGCAAATTGAAGGCCTCATTTGAAAGGGGCTGGAACCAATAATTTATCACGTATATCATGGGTTGGTATATCACAAAATCCCATAGCATTCAATCTTACAATATAGTTGGTATCCTTTGGCCAAAAATAAATACCCAAGTACAGTCAGCTTGTGCTCTCCCAACCTAGACATTATGATTGTAAAGTGCCAAGTAACAGGGATTCGAAGAACCGTGGTAGGGGTTACCTCTTCCACATCACTGTCCGCCATGGCAACCAACACACACCAAAAATGAGGTGTGCTCCCAGTAACTTGGAAAAGGCTGCATGTCAAAGGTTTGTGGTTTGGAGGTTCAAGTCTTATCGCAAGCACATCCTTCGAATTGGATATGTTTGGTGGCAGGAGCACTTCATGGTGCATGTTCATGTTTTCAACCGCTGAAAGGCCTACATCAGGCAAAAGTTCTTTGACGCTTTTGGCATCCAGAAGCTTGGAAGCTGGGATCCTCAGAGATGATTCAAAACCAATGGTAACCAGCAATCAACGGCTCAATACTCAAAATGAAGTTGATTCACAATGGGACTTGTCAAGTGGATGGACCCAGCTTCAGGCAAAAAGCTTCCTGCCATGAACCCATCGCATCATTGAGGCTAAGTTGGCCATATTCCAAGCATATTAGATTTTGGGCACGGTATCAAATAATCATCAAATAATTGCTAATAATTGTTGGATTTTATCGATCAATGTAGCCAGCCGACATGCCCAATGAACCCACAAAGTGACGCAGATTTGCCACTTAAACTAAGCGAATGCTGGCTTCGCCCAAGTCCAAGTTCCCTGAAAGGGCCATGACAGGCCTGATCGGCATCAGAACTTTCACTCCGGTAGTATTGGAAACATCCAACCTCAGTAGTTTGATACAGCCACAGGGCAAGATTGGAAAGATTAGGAAAGATCCTTAACATATGACGTTTCAATTCAAAATAAAAACCAAGTAGGGAATATAGTCTAGGAGCCGGCATCTCCAGGCAAGAGAGAGGTGCTGGGCACTCTTGACTTTGCCGATATCCAGGAAAGCCCCAAAATTGCGATGGGTTAGGCTCTTGCCCTTGTTCTTCTTTGACTTTTTCTCTTTCTCTTTGGTTTCCAAGTCAGCCATGTTGTCAAGAACGAAAACCAAAGGCTTGGTAGATTTCCAATCACCATCGTTGAATGCATGGTGGGAGACCTCCACTTTGACCTCGATTGGGTATCATAGTGTTCAATCAGATAATGATAATGTTGAAAATACATCACACCCTGATGAATTGTAAACATAGGCACCCATGTTCGGAATACATACCACCCTGATAATATTCAATCAGATAATGTTTGGAATACATACCACCCGGATGATGAGCTGTTGCAAAATCAATGGCCTCCCCACAATCCTCCAGGTTGGCGAGGACAGATTGAAGGGAAGCGATGCCATCCAGGCCCTCAATCTTTTGGAGATGTTCTGGGAGGTCCTTTTTCTCCAAACAAATCAACGAAGTGCCACACACCGCAAAGTTGAACCAACGATCGAAAGAGTCATCGCTCATCAATTCCTTGCCATCCTTGGAATGCAGTAAGCCTATTTCAAACGCATATAGATGTTGGTGGGATGGTGACCGCATATGCGAAATCTGACAACAACACTTGAAAGCTGTTGGTAGAATCGTGTTTTATTTGCTGCCTGAGTTGCTGGACCATCTCTCCACTCACCAGATCCGAATCCAAACCTTGCAAGGCGGCAGAAGCCAGCTGGAGAGGAGCCAAGGGTCCAGGGAAAGCAAACAGGTTTCCACTTGAAAGTCAAGTAACATCTCTCGGTTCTGAAAGAATTGGTTTTTGCTCTTTGAGCACATGAAAACATCAGCCCCATCATTGCCCTGGATGAGATCGCACGTGTTGTTCAAGCTGAAGGTCTTCCTCAGGCAATTGCAGAGCGATATCATCACTGAAAGTCAGGTAGGGAGAGACATGAAGAGACAAACCGAAAAAATAAACACCCATTATTCTGAGTTGAAGCCCACTTGTATTTTCACATCCTGTTCGGCTCTGGAAAACGGTTCATATTTGGGACCTGGTAGGGAACCATTCCAGCCCACAGATAATAATTTATCTCAAAGAATCGGATTCTTGAGTTTGGACACTTCATCATGCATGGTCGGTTCCACCTTGATTCGTTTCGCAGGACGCTCGGCTTGGTCATCAACTGCTGGATCTGCGGCTGCAGTCCTGGCGCTCAGATACCGGCAGACCAATGATTGACCAATGAATGATAAACTTCTTGAAATAGCTGGGTGGTTATCAATTTGATCCACTTTGAAACAATGGGGGAACCAAAAAAGCTGATCCCCACTCCTGGTATCAGAAAGCCACATCTCTTGGGTGGAATTATATTCCTGGTTGTGCAAGGCGATAATTTCATTGGCTTTGATGGCAGTCCCTTCGTTATCCACCCACTTTCGAGCCAGTGATTCGAGGATGAGTAGCGAGTCAGCCTTTTGCACACTGACCCTGAAAGATTGTTCTCTTTGGGTGGAGTAACCAGCTTTCAACGCAGTCAAGATGGGGTCAAACTGGGGGAAGTTGTTGATCTGCAGATGCCCTGCTCTGCACTGCTCATACAACTTGTTTCCCACCATGTTGACAATGTCGGAACCACTGCTGTCCAACGCTACCGTGCCACAGACACAGTCCTTCCCTTCAGCAAGCTCCTGCAAAAACAAGGGAGCGTAGCCAGTACGACTGGATGGATGGATTTTTCAATGGGCACTTTGAGGATGGAAGTTCATGGGGTGACACGACAACTATCATATCATATGCAGCGTGTGTTGGACTCACATGAAATCCACACATATATCATGGGGTCCTCCATTGTGGCTAGCGCTGGGAATGCGTCATAACCAAAGAGGTCCACTAGAATTGTGCACTTCACAGTTGCAACCTGGAAGGCCTCCAGGCTCTTTCGAATGAAATTGGTTCCCGCGGCCACCTAGGCTGTTGAGTAACAAACATTGTTCATGAGATTTCATGAGATTGTGGTTGCACATTTCAAGTCACCGAGCTTTACCATTTGGATTCAAGAAACCAAGAAACCTGATACATTTTGGAAAATGTTGGAACCAAGAAACCTGACGCATTTCTTGCACATCAGTCAGAGCCCTGCCCAGGTGAGGAAGCTGAGACCTCTGAGGAGAAGCCTGACGGGTGAGACGGTGCTGAAAACGGATTCCATTGTTTTCTATACTGAAACCAAAGCCAAACATAATTCCAGGTCTACCTACTCGAAGCACATAGTAGTCATTAACCATTATCAATTTGAAAATGATAATAATGACTCCTTTGAGAATCTTTGAGCTAGTGCCTACCATTCTCAATACCCATTAAGCCACCCAAACCATGGCCTGAGGTGGCTTGAACATGTCTGCCCGTGGCAACATTGTCACTCCATGGATGGTCCCCGTCTTGAAAGCTTTCGTGTTGCGGAAAAGATTCCGTTTCTCGCGTGACAGGATGCAAAGGCCATGCACGATGCCTTCTCGCTTGCCATAGACAGAGTCCTGAGATAGGAACTTACAACAGGGATGAGATTGAAACTTATGGGTCAGGAAGGCCAACTTAAATACTAAGTATGTACAATGTTTCCATGGCTGCGGTCCCTCAAACCCACCAGCCAAGTCTCGGGGGAAAAGATCCAAGACATGTTTCGCACCAGCAGGTTTCGGTCCTTCATGGCCAATGCACTCCTAAGCAGTGAAATGGTTGGGTTGAGGTTCAAGAATACATATATAGTGTTCATTGGATATTTTTCCAGGAGGGGGTCGCCCTGTTCAAGATGAGCACCAATAATTGACTTAATGGACAACAAAATACAGTTATACAGTTTGAGACAAAGCTCTCAAGTTTGTAGCGGACATCTCTCACATCTACATCCTCAGGGTCCCGGTCTTTTGAACCCGGGTCAGACTGATCAGAGTCAGATTCATTTGTCTCATCCTTCTTCACTCCAGGACCTTTGTGGTCACGGTCATCATCATCTGCCTTTGTAGCGCCCTTAGCAGCAGATTTCCTCGACAGGAGGCGACGGTTTGTGATGACCAAAGGATGGACTACATAATATTTTCATTAGCATTGTAAATCATTGGTGTACATAATACCGATACTGGGGGACAAGCCCGAAGATTAGGTGGTTAGTGGCCCGGATGTATGAACGGGATGTTGTAAAAAAACGCCAAATGAAATTTCCAACCAACCATTTTGGGAACTTGGGTCCTGCCCTCTGCTTGCCCAGCCCGGTTTGGGTGGATCAAAAGGCACATACTGTTCAGGGGCAGATCACTGATGACATTCGTTATGAAGTTCAAAAAGAAGGATTCCTTCCCTGCAGTCATTATGCCGACCGTAGGACAATTCAAAATCATCACCACGCAGTGGTCATCAACCGCATTGCCATGCTCTCGGATTTTATCTCGGATCCATGAACGAACATTGGGTGTGACCACCGCTTCAGCATCAGATGTTTTGCTGACAAACATGCTGAGGTTGGTTTCCACGAAGGTTCGAACAGCTTCCCAGGCCCGGTTGTGGCAATCCTGGTGGTTCAGGAATATCACAAAATGTGACCTTTAGTGACCAATTACCATCTAGACACTGAAAACGTTTCAATCCAAGTGGTTACCATTTAGATACCATCTAGCCATCCATCAATAGGCCATTTGGGACCTGGAACCTTGTTTGAACCCAAGCACAGTCCTCAAGCTGTTTCACCAGCTTGGCTCGGGTCTTTTCTCCTTCTTTCTGAGCCCTCAGCAAACAGAACGATCACAGGAAACAACCCTGCATCACCAAACGAGAACAACCACCAACCACCACCAAAAGGAATTACCAAACCCACCAAAGCCAAAACCACAATCACAACTGCGACACAAACACAGCAAACAATGCTATACAAAAAAGACAATGCCGACGACAACTGCAGAAACAACAGCAATTGCAAAAATATCAACAACATCATCAACAACCAAAACCACAATTGCAACCACATCAACAACCAACAACAACAAACAAGCGCAACCACAACGACGACAACAACAACAACAAACAACAACAACAAAACAAACAATCACAACAACGACAACTACAACAGCAGCAAAAACAACAAACGTCAACAAACAGTGACAACAACAAACACACAATCACAACAACAACACCAACAGAAAACAACAGACAACACCAAAACCAACACTACCAAGAACAGCAGCAAGCAACAACAAACAATGAAAACAACACACAGCAACTAGCAACAACGACAACAACAACATAAATACGAAACCAAAGACAACAAACCACATCATCAACAACAACAACAGCAACAACCACAACCACAACAACAACAACAACAACAACAACAACAATGTCATGATGTAACGATTTGTCCCCGACAGCCAATTTCTACGTGAATTATCATTGTGTTCGACCCTGGCTGGCCCAACATGGCAATGATTTTACCAAGACGATCCAGAACAACAACAGCAAAAGCCATACCTCAACCAGAGTAAAAGTAACAACAGCGAAAGCAAACAACATCCCAACAAAGCATCATAAGCCACCACCACAACACAAATTCAACAAATTAGTCAAAACACTTTAGTCAAACAATGAGGCCAACACCAACACCATCACAAACAAGACACAAACATTTGCAATGGCAACGAAACAACAACAGCAAAAGAACAACAAACAATGAAAACGACAAATAATAATTCACAACAACAACAACGACGACGACGACAACAACAACGACAACGCCAACAACAGCGACAAAAATACGCAACAAAAGACAACAACCACAACAACAACCACAACAACCACAACAACCACAGAAACAGCAACAAGAACAACAACGAAAAAACAACAAAAACAACAACAGAAACAACACCTACAATGTCATGATGTAACTTGTCCCCGACAGCCAGTTAATATACATGTCATAATGTTGGTTGGTGTTTTGGATCTTGTTGTTGTCGTTGATGTGCTGGTGCTTGTCATTGTTGGTAGCTCGTTGTGTGTGGATTGCCATTCATTTTTTTCACATCTTGAACCCCAAACCTTGATCTAGGCTTAGGCACTATAGGCCCAGGCATATTTATTGGCAGTGGTGGTACATATTCTTCATGGAATCTTCATGATGGTATCATGCTTGGTGTATTTGTGGTGTCGCTGTTGTCAGCGGTTCATTTTATTCATCACATCTTTGTCTAAAACAACTCAGTAGTGAATAGTGGAAACACAAGTGACCCAACCCAAAGGATCCCGGGTGGGGCACTTTCTCATTGACCATTTTGACATTGAATTAACAACCAGTGGACCAAGCAACAATAGAATCTTGTTACACGAAGCCATGTTTCAAAATCCGATCACTGATGAACTGGGCTTGGTCAGCACGAAGCTCCTCCTGCCAGGCCAGGAAGGCCGCCTCGTGAGATCGCTGCAAGGCGTTGCGGGCAGAGTCCTGGTGTTGCGCCATGTAGTCTTCGAAGGTCTTTCCTTTGGCCTCACATCTTCGAAGGCTATTCAAAGGAAAACATGTTTTAAGAAAGTGTCACTGAGTTGTCACATGTTGTCTGATTGTATCATTTGATTTGGGAAGTGTGAGCAACTGCTTGTCAGATTGATGTGAGAAGAATAGATCTCGTAACTGCATCAAACTAAAGCCTCCAACAGAGATAGGCGAACCATGTTCCTATTTTCTCGAAAAGCATTTCTGAGCAAGCTAGCCTCTAGGATGAACGGAAGCCGCTCCCAATCGAAGGCAGCATCGGCTGACTTCAGCGCCGCAGACAGGTCAGCGTCCAAATGCCTTGGGTGCGGGGTAAGATTATATACCCAAATAATATTATATATATATATATAATATATTTAATTTATATTTATATAAATTTATTATATATATCAATATATTATATTATTATATATTTTACTAATAAAATATTTATTTATTATTAATATATTAAATAATAATATATTAAATATTGAAAATCAATCAAATTACAAGGGAAAAATTGTCACCCCAAGTTTGACGCAGTCTCGGGAAACCCCATCACAAAAAGCTGGTTTTGGGACAATCCATGATCTCTAAACTTTTTTTTGTTTTGGCGACCAAGGATTGATTCACCCAAATCATTGGATTTGTGACGGGGTTTCCGGGGACCGCATCATTCACAGCTATGAAAAATATGAGCCGTTGGATGATTGAATTGGCTGGCCAATGGGCAGTGGCCAACAGCCAGGGACATGGCCGTTGGCCAGGGATATGTGACGGGGTTTTCGGGGAACGCATCATTTCCAAATGTGTTTTTAGATTGCCAATTGATTTTGGCAACCAATCACCCTGTTACGACATTGGCCAATGAAAATTGGCAACCAATCAGGCCCATGATGTGTTTGCCAGCCAATACTGAAAACCACTTACAGTATCTCATAACTTTGAACCACACATTTTTTGAACGAAGGCACCCATCATCAAAGAGTTTCTGGTGACGTTGAACAACGTCGCCTGGAAAGTGCTCTTCCAACTTTGCCTTGATCCATATCCACAAGCAAACGATGTCGTGACAAAGGATCTGGGCATCTTCCCCACGCTGGACTTCTTTCTGCAGGGTAATTATGATGGTTTTACGGGCATGCCCATGAGATTGGTCGTATGGTCATACATGGTAATGCATTTAAAAAAATATATAACGGAACCAACCAGCTGCGACAGGGGCAGTTCCAGTCCTTCTTCTTCATGGTGGCCTCTTTTGACGCCATTTTGGCAAAGTCCTGGCAGAGATTCTGCTGAAGGCGGTTATGGGAAGTGTTGCACAGGCATAACACCATATGATCCATTTATGGTATTGATAAAGTTGCCATATTGACATTCTATGGTACAGTATTCTATCATCAGGGCCGACTGGTATTCAACGCATGCATTTAAATTGTGTATCCACCAGTCCTCTGTGACACGTTTGAAGTAAGCCAAGCAAGTTTCCGGGCTAGTCGACAAGATCTCACCCCAAATCGCTTTGTTCCGGTAATTCTCGGAGTCTTTGCGGGTCGTGACATCCGGCACATAGAAGTCAAGCTGAAGGATCGAATGGGGCAATCCTTGGGTGGTTGTACATATCGGCTAGCACAGTGATGTTCATGGTCTCCCATATGACAAATGATTAATGATTATTCCCAATGATTATTGATGTTTCCCCATAAAAGCTGATTAAATATTTTTGATGGAAACCCACCTTACCCAGACACAGAGTCAAGTTCTGACACTACACATCATAGATCCAAGTATCCAGAGACATGGTGAACAAACTGGTCGTAATGCGATGCCAGAAGCTGCGTGGCCTCCTTGGGGACTCGGAGCCTCAGTCAGAGCTTTGAGGGTTTGACCACTGAACATCATGGGTATAATCAAGACGGTGAACATCATAAAAACCTGTGCTAGCTACCAGATCTACAATGAGCTGGAAAAAGTGTTCAATTTGAAACCGAATAGCAAGTTCAAAATCAGGGCCTTACGGCCGGAATCTATGCGATGTCGCTTGTTGGTGACCATTTTGTTGTAGTTGGTCACTGTGATATTCAAAAGGTCCCGCAAGCCAGCCCGACCACCACGTACAAAGCTCTTCTCCACTTGAATCGCTTGATTGATTTCACCCATGATGGTAATGGGGCTTGGTTCGATCTTTTCCGCAGTGACAAATCCCATTCCTGGGTATTAAATGATGCTGGTACATATGGAGAAAATCACAATCTCACTAATGGAAAATCAACACCATCAATAGGCTAAAAATCCAGTCATAAAACGAAGCAAAGAATCTCAAAGAATGAAGGAAGTGGTGTGACGGGTTGGAAAATTCCGTGTACGAACACCGCACGGCCACAAAACTTTCAAGGACTTTGGATAGCTCCTTGTCTTTCTCGACAGCCTCTACTGAAACCTCTAGTTCTTCCAGGAACGCCACAATGGAAGCCATAGTGAGGATTTTGCACTGCCCATCACTGATGCCCACACTTCCTGCTCCCACCACCCGCGTCCCGTCTCGTTGCATGAATCGCGCCTCCACCGTACCAATCGCAGATCGATACCCATGTGCTAGGATTTCAGGGAACAGGGTCTGGAACTGGATGTTGCTAGGGTAGACTGCAGGGAAAGGTTCCCAACAAGGAAAAAAATGCAGGATAATACTGGACAAACAAAATTTAAAAATAAATTGAATTCTTTTGTTGGAAACCGACAGACAAACTGTTTCAAACATTCCCCACATCCGTTCTTGGCTGACGAGCTCATGTTGAAAGCAGTCAGAGGCAAATAGAACTCTTCCATGGACTGATTGGGAATGACCGTGAGGTGCTGCTTGTGAGTGGGCACTGGCACTCGATGCAAAACATAGGTATTGATGGCCTGAGCCAAAGGATGATGAAACAGGGCCCTAATGACCAACCATTTTAGAACATGTCCATCACATTTTAGAAACACAGGATGAGGGGCTGACCCTTTCCAGCCGGTCACCGGCACCAAAGTTGTCCTGCAGATGTTGCCCCAGGTTCTTTTGCCCCAAAACCTCAGGCGGCGCCAAAAGCGACTGGATGTCCAACAGGCTAGGTACATAGATGCATACAACCTTAAAGATACAATTTGAAGGAGGTTTGCACCCGAGAAACTGGAACAAAAAATGGTTGGTTAAAATTGGTTTCCAAGAAACGGTTTCAAAGTATGCCAAGAGTTGGGTTTTCAAACTACCCCCGCCATCGTGCTCAGGATCAGCATCCATAGCCCCCACGTGATTGTGTGAGTGCTGCGTCGGCCAATGAAAGCCAAAATCTCTGAAATACAAACATGAGATAAACCCAAGTTCCACATGAAAAGCAAAACTGCAGCACCTGTTGGAATACCGCTTTTCACATGTTTTCACCATATTTTCACCCCTGGTTTGATGCGCATGGTGAAATGATCCCCTAAACTTTCACCCCCTTCGGTGGAAAACCACCTGAAGCTCATGAGGTCGTGGGGCTGGTGCCCGATGACCTAGTTGAAAATCAGTCCAATCAATGCGGTGAGCCCTAGCTTCACGCAAAAAAGATAATTGAGGTGGCCTTTCATCAGGCAAATCACCAGAAACCAAACTGTCGTACCAAGCTCCAGCCCGGTGCATTTGCGGGAAGTCCCTCCTGAAAGCCATTCGCAACGCACGCAGTTCCTGGCGCCGAGCTTCATCAATCTCACAGACCTGGACAGGGCATCCTGGAGCATTGGCCATGTCAAAGGCAGCCCTAGCAGTAGGCTCAAGGGAGGCAGGCCACACCACAAGAGGGTCTTGACTAAGTTCTTTGCTAGCCATGGTGGATTTCACAAGGCAAAAAATATCCTTGTCATCAGCGCCAGAACCCATAGCACGTGGGATCCGTCCACGAATGCTTTGAATATGCTCAGGCATTCCTGCATGGAGATCAACAAACACACTTATTGGTTATTGCGATGAAGCCTGTATTTAAAACAATGATTTTTTGCCAACAGTAATGAAACCATACTTGGTGAACTAACTTGCCTGATCGCTGCATAAAAGTGAAATGGTGCGGCACTGGGGTTTGATCTTCAGCATCCCGAAGGGCCCGAACTTTGTAGCAATTCTTGAAGGTAACATCTGATGGAATGATCTTTGTCCACTGGCGTGCCTACACAGCAAAATGGTTCGAATGAAAAAGAATGTTTGCACAAGCGGCCCACCAAATGGTAAAGGGGGTGAATAACAAAACAAACAAATTATGAAGACAAGATACAACACCAACGATGTCAACTGAGAAAGTTTGCCCCCTCCTTTCAAAGATTGGCTTCAACTTCAACTCCAGGATACGTTGCATATCACGTGGTGTTTGTAAAGGATCAGGAGAGGAACGTAGGGCACTGGTTGCAAGGGAGAATACAGAGTCTATATCCTCGTGCGTGTGTCCTACTGCTAGATGCCCCTCCGAGGCAACCCGGAAGGTTCCCTGTTGAAGGAAAGAGCAGAGCATCCTTGCCGTGTAGGTATTCCGAACCTCTTTGACGGTATTATCGGATTGTATCCATATCCTGAGTTGGTATAGGTCCCCAACCAAGGAAATAACGTGTTTGAAGTTTGAAGCCCCAATGCCAAACAAATCCGAGACAGCACCCCACCGGAAAGCCAAGAAACTCTTCAGCGAATGGTTGGTTGTAGGCCTTGCACTGCTTCCAGACCTTCTCCAAAGAGAGCATGACCTCAAAGTGCAAAATCAGACCGGTAAGATATGCGATCCACCCGTTGGCATTTAACCGATTAACCCAAACAGCAAAAAACTTAACACACTACAAATGTTTCTAAAGTGGGACAAAGTAACACACTCCCACTGCCAGTTGGATCCAGCTGACATGCCCTCCCGAGCAGTCAAGTACAAAAAGCACCCATGTCCATGTATCATCACAGCCGTTAACACCAACTGCGCTCCTTAGATAGGTGATAGCTGACACCCTTCCAGAACCCCTTCCGAAAATGTGTTTTCAATCAAGTCTTAAATGGTGTCGAAAAATCAATTTATGGGCTTTCAAAAATTGATTTTCGGGCATCGCTCAGGGACGCTAAAAATCATGTGTCTTGAAACCCATGTAAACATCAAGGAGGCTTTCGGAAACTTATCATAGCTGTTTTCAATACATAAATGATCAGCCAGGTGTCTGCTGAAAAACTCATAGACTGTTCGCTTGGGGCACCGTCCGAACGGGTAAGACGGCAAGCACAGTTTTGAACGATCGAATGAATCTATGATAATGCAGAGCAAATCTTTCTGATACGTGGATCGGTTTCTTGCTGCCCAATACACCCGACGATCATCATATTGAGACGAGTAGTGACCAAGGAGCTGATCACAAAGCCTAGCGTGTTCCTTGAAGTCCTCAGCAAGGCCGCAAAGGGAAACCCGTTTTAAAAAAACAACGTATTCAAAAAACATATTTCTTCAGGAACAAACAGAAACCTGAAAAGTAGGAAGTTTGCTGAATCCAATCTTTGTATCTGTTGCTGCATGAATTGCCATTTTCAATGACTGGCAGATTACACACATAGAGTGCTCAGATTTCGGTCGGAACCGTAGGCAACAATACCAACTCTTTGATGCCTGGTAGAAGGTGGCTCTTGAGGCAGGAGATCCCCCTGATGATCGAATGAAAGCAAGGTACATCAAGTAAAGGGAAGCTGTATTCCCAGGGGGCAGCTGACGAAGTGGCAGTGATGTTGGATCAAGCTCAGTGGTTTGTCGTGTTGACCCCAGCAATCTTTCCTCTACCAATTTGTCTAAGAGCCTTTCCCGCAACTCATGGTCAGTGGTGGATGCCTGCTTGGTCTCTGCCGAGTCAATCCTTGGAATTCAGCATGCATGAGTCGCTAGTCAAAGCCATTCCATAGAGTTATGACAAAATTATGGTTTATGATTCATGATATATTATGGTTTTCAAAAATTTGCTAAATATCTCCCAATCACGCTGTAGGCATAGTTTCTCCAGCAGTCCAGTATAGATGGGAAAAGAAACTGTGCACCGAAGCTGATTGCGATGCATCACGCGTGGTATTACCTCAACATAAGTTGATGAACCTTCGAACCATAGTTCAAGATCACTAGCATTTTGAAAAAAACAGAGAAAAACATCATCTATCATCCACTCATGAGCCAAATGACATTGGTTGATCTTGCGTTCATCCAAACCACGGTACCGTTTTTTTGTTCGTGCAATCCGCTCCTTCCCCACACCTAGGAACCTCATCCATGCAATCCGGCAAAGCTGATGGCCTGTTCAGGGGCTGGTAGTTGTTAGTCTGGTTAAGGTTATCCACCATGAAACCGATTCCCACCCAAATATCGATAATAGCAGGATATGTAACCAATGAACCAGAATGAGTCAAGATTTGTTAAGAAGATTGATCTTTTATTTATAATAAAACCACGTTTTTGAGTTCAAACAAATTTGATCATATTTGTGTGGTGAAGGATTTGAATAAACCGTGATGATTTGACAAACAATCCTTCGATACTCCAAGTGGAACGTGGGGCAGCCTCACTCTGTATGCTCCAGAGCAAAGCGTCTTGTGACTCTTTGCTCAATCCCCAGAATGTCCGGCAGGCATTCAGCAAGGGTTTGAATGGCATGGTGCATCCACAAGCGCATGGTGGGGATGCCAAGATTTTCTTGATTCTTTGGGGGTCGACACCATTGGTAGCGTATGACGATAAATCACCGGTTGATTGCAAGCCATGCAGCGACGCCAGAGAACTCAGCCGCAATGACACATCGGATGTCGTCGGTCTTGGGTTTCTAGAGGAACTGCTGCTAGCAGACCTGAAGCCAGCATGGCTGGGGAAAGGTAAATAAATACGGATGCTAATGGGTTTTAACTGCCCATGACTGGCTAATACATCAGATTCGTTGAATGCAATCATGGTAAAGCCCTTTACTAAACATTCTTTCCAAACAAATGCGTTCAAGTAACTCAGAATCAGAACTGGTATCAGCATGGTGGGGCTCACTTTCAGAAGATGTCTCATCATAACGCCACACAGATGCTGAAGGCTTCTGCTGGACGGTATCGCTGACATCATCATACCGGCCCAGGACACCCATGGGAGGGTCAGGGAGTGAGAACACAACTAAAGGCCACGTATGTTGAACACATTCTTGCAGGAAAAGTGACTCTATAGTTTGGACATGTCTGGACAAACAAATTGAAACATATCAAATCCATGGTCAATGATCAGGGTTTTTATTGGTTTTTGAATGACTGAGACACAACTTTTCCATCGATATTTTTTGATGGACTAAAACTGCTGCATGCATGTGCTTGCACGTTTCCCCCCATGCACAGGGTCAAGCAATTTTTGACAGTGCATGTCTCAAATACCGAACCATTTAAGCTGATGAGAAAGAATTCCATGAGAAATGTCTCAACCCATTTTCAAATGCTGATGAATATTTTCCACCACCATCTCCAGATAGTTACCCGATAATTTCTTTTTTCAACCATGTAAAGCCAATCAGCGCTTCAAGTACTGCATCATCAAGATAGGGTCCATGCTCTTCAAGACAATCAAGATCGCGGTGAGGACAGAGCGGACATGCATCGCATTACCAGCGAGCTTCTGCAACTCCTGAGCCGGCGGGATGATTGGCAGGCGGACCGGTTGCTAACGCAACGCCATATCAAGTTTGGGTAATCAAAACTCAAGATTAATATTGCTATCACACCATTTTTTTTGCAGATAAGAATCAGAGTTGGTAAAGTGGCACCAATCCATTTGCATCATCGGTACGCCCATCAACAGGCAACATTCCAATCCTGCAAGGTGTATGGGATTGGGGAAGCAGCTGCTGAACACACCATGATCAGTCCTGTCAGAAATCGCTGCTGCTCTGTCACCAAGAATTTTCCTTTGGGCCTCAGTCAGATCAACAGGATATATTATTTGACTTGCCCTTACATGCATTTCATTTTTGCTGAACTCTCAATTGATTAATGATTACTGATTTGTGATAATACTTGCCCTTCAGTTATAAGGATATGACGTAATGACCGGCAATGGATGAGAGCTGGGGGTGCACTGCATTCGGCCAATCGATTGCGACAAGTTAGCCACTGCAAAATCCCCTCCAAGTCGGTACGTGAGCAGATCCATGGCCTCCAAATCAGAAGAAACTAAATTGAAATCCAAAGAGTTGAACCCCAACAAATAAAACAACAAGAGATTTCAACTTGATGGTGTGATCATCCATCCAAATCATGCGTGGCACCTCCAGCTCCCGTTGAGAATTCACTTGCTGCGCTGCAAGAGGGAACGCCGCTTGAAAGCTACCAGCCGCATCTTTCTTTTTCACCTGGCAGCTAGACCGTTGATTTCGAGAAACCATTTTAGAATATTTTTTAAATAATTTATGGTTTCCATATTCATGGATCATTTGCTATGTGTTTTTTTGCATTAGCTTCTGTCGCATGTTGGGAAAGCAACATACTAAATTGAGCACCTTGTGGTGGCGGGCCCAAAGTCGGTGCGTCTTAGGCCATTTGAACTTGCGTTTCTTCCTCAGAACATGTGAAGCAAGATCAGGGTTGAATAGTAGCTTTGTTTGTTCATTATTTGAAAATTCGGAGTGAAATTGATTACATGCTTCAAGATGCGTTTTGTTCACCTTCTTCTTGGTAGTAGTCACAGATTCTGCCACAACCCAATGGTCCCTTGGCAGGAGAAGATCTTGCCTTAGTGAATGACTGGGCTAGGTAAGTGAGACTAACTATAGAAGGATAAACATGCATTCAGCTTTGGACCGACAACATGAACAACATTCGAATTTGAGGACAATACCATGTTATCGTCTGTGGTAACTGAAGATTCTCATACATAGCCTTGGCAAACAATGAGAGGTCCAAATTCCTCACCATCAAGTTCTTGCGGACAATCAGGAAGAACACCCTGTTTCGTGTCACAGGGGCTCCAAGTAGGAACCTTAGCGCCAAAGCGGCAATTTGAAGCGGCGAGTTTGCGGAGGGTGCAAACGCATTCCGATAGTTGCCAAGGAGCGGGTCAATGTCAATTGTGGTAATCTCATACCTGGTTGCCCGGTGTTGCCAACATTTTTGAATGACATGATGATCACTCACTTTGCCAGTAGCACCATGAATGCATTCACAAGGGATGACACATATTTGGTATCTTAAATAGGTAAGGTTCTCGGGAAGGTTGTTTTCCAGGAGCTCCATCACTTCGGAAAACACATCATGCCGCTTTATCCCAGGAACATTCTCCAGCACTGCAGCCTGAGATAGTTGGCGGGTATTGAGTCATATAGGTACTACTGCAATGGCTATAAAAACACACACATAGAACACGAAATCACTCGGATTTATTGTATCTCATGTTTAGCATTCTTTCTATGGTCCACTTCTCTGCTATTAAGTGACACAAGGCTGACAGGTCTTCACACGTCGAATGGTCTCATACATTTGTTGCGCTTCTTGATCCCGAAGTAATTTGGAGTGTGCGTGTAAAGCAGAAAATGGTGTGCACGGGAATCCCGTGCACATCAAAGCCGCCTGCAACAAATCCGCAATTGACATTGAAATGCTTGGAAGGAGTTTGATTCAAGTGATACCTTTGTCCCCCGGTGCCCAGCCTTGCGCTTCAGTGAGATGGTGTCATTATCGAACATATCTGTTTTGCTCCTGATGAAATGGCTAGAATTCTACTTGTCGGGTGTTGTTGCTCTATGTTTCCAATTTCACCCAGTAACTGACAGGGCTTTGGAAAGTTCTTCTCAAGGAAGCGCTGTGCAGTTTCATCCCGCTCGCTTTGAGACCTTGTGACTAATTGCGTGCTAAAATCTTTGTTGGAAGCTGCCTGGAAAGAAAGCATGGGATACCATCCAAGTGAAAACATCAAACAGGCAAGTGGCAAATATTCGATGGTGTGAGGGCGCAAGCGGAAGATGCTTTGCAAAGCCAGCAATGGTGTTTCCATCCCACTGCCTTTGTTAGGGGCTGCAGCTGATTTAGTACAAATAACCCGAACAAACTGTCATGGTCCCTTCAATTGGGTTGGGCATTCTTGGGTGCAAAGACAGGGGGCAATCACTTATGTAGCCGAACTTCCCCTGCCATCGGTCCAGGAAGGTTTCGATACCTGGGCATCATGTGGTTATCGGTTGTTTTCCAAAATGAAAGGAAAGGAAAACCAAACTGAATATGACATCATTGAAATTTCATCACACCAAGATACGTGCCACCCGCAAGAAGTCACATGTTGAGAGATAGGCCCTTTGGGTTGTAGTGAGGTCAAGAAATCGTGGTGGTGGCTGCTCCTTCAGTAAGGCAAAAATAAGTAAGATTATTGAATGGTTATGCACTGAATTGTGCATTACATCATATCCCAAACATAGGCTCCTCCTCTGAATCACTGGAGATTTCCCTCCACACCGGCATGGCTTCAAAGGGCTTGAGCAGCTGGAGAAGCCCCGGTTGCAAGTAAGACAAGCCCTGGTTAGCATCAGACTTCCATATATATAATTATATGACAATACAATTAATGCATGATGATTGGTTGATGGTGATCAAACCTGGGGACATCAACAACCATTGGGATTAAGACCACACCTAGCGATTGGATCCGATTGGTTCCATGGGTGTCCTGAACATGGGGGATGCCTCAAAATATGCTATAGTTTTCATATGTTTTCATAGGGAAAATTGATGAAAATTGTGATTACTCATCAATTTTTTATCGGTATCCTATTTTCAGACAAACTGTAATGGGGATTGCGTGCGCATCTAATCTGGAAACCTTGCCAATATTCGAAGCTTAAACCTTGCTCTGTCGCTTGGTCATTGGAGTTGCTTTTGCTGGAAGGGGTTGGGATAAAGCACATTTGATGAGGATTTCAAAAATCACTTATTTGTTTCTTTCCTTTTTTCATGGGCAGTTTCAAAGGCATTTTCATAGGGATTTGCCCATCATTTATATACATATATTTTCATGGCGGGTTCAAGCATCAACGGGATGGGCCGAACTTTCTTGAACTGCTGGTGGGGTGATGATTGTTACTGTAGGTTAGGTGTTATCTGCTACTGTACCCTTTACATTTCCGCAACTGATTTCCAACATGGATGGTTTATACTTATAATGGAAACTCCCATTAACATGATAAAATAAATGATTTTGGGGATGCCCCCATGAATTGGATTCGGGAAATCATCCTCATAGCTGGCCGTATGATAAGAGCACATCAAAGCCATTTTCAGGTTAGTGAAGTAATATGATTCAACCAGATTATATTTATGTTATCATATGTTATCATATGTTATACATCAACTGGAAGTCCCCACAAACACCAACCATTATAACTTGGGGATGTTCCAAGAGGATTTGTTTCGCCTTGTTTCCCCTTGAGCCTTGTTGTGATGGATTATCCAACCAATCCCATCCATCCGATATACAATTTTTGTGCCCCAAGTCATGAATAATTAGATGCCGACACATTTTACCAGGATTTGCTAGGTCGTTTGGATGCTATGAAAAATAGGGGAAGGGATTGTTTGAGATGGGATGACAAGGAAGTGCCGATCAGAGCCCATCTACGAGTCGTAAGTGAAAGCGCCAATGAATCACTGTGCTTAAAAAGGTCCCGAGGGGAAAACCATTTCGAAGATCAAGCAGCTTAGTTTTGAAGGGTTTCAGAATGTTTCAGAGTCCCTGGATGGACTACTGGACGACGTGAGTCCAAGAAGTTCTGCTCATTTTGCAGGAAATCCGAAAACCCCAGTCATCCTATCCTTTTCCCAGCTATAAACATCTATAAACCTCCATGGATAATGGATTACCATGGATTTCCCCATATTTTCACATCAAATTCCATTGATACGTGGCTGCCGCAGGGCGAAAAACGGAGACTTGTGGTCTCCGTGAGTCTGCGAGAGAGCACGGAGGAGCTGGGTGACAGCTGGTTAGACCCTAGCAGTCATCGGGTTTGGAAGATTAGTTTCCACATGTTTCCACATGTTTCCACATGTTTCCACATGTTTCCACTTCAAATGAATTATTTTCAGGGTCTATGTTAATTTACTAGATGGTAATGGTTCAATGGTCAATGGTTCATAAATTGTTTAGAATGGTGACAGATGGTTAATCGATTGCACTGCGGTCATCAAACATGGCCCTCCTTGATCCCCATGGATCATGATGGATGTTCCATTGCCAAAGTGCCCACACCTGGCATTTTCTACTACACATATTTTCCTTACTGAGAATGAGAAAGCATGACTGTGACTGTTTAGTAGAGGGGTCCAGGAAATGAGATGCAAAGTAGGTGCAGGCGATGTGAATGTCCTTGCATGTGTTTCATGACATGGCATGACATGGCCATGGTTCAAGCTTTTGCACCCCGAAAAAGAATGGTCTAGTGCCAACGATATTCACCATGCTCAAAAATATCCTTCACCCAGGCCTTTGTCACCCCAGCTACACGTTCCAAGTCCCTCCGCAGATCTGGCACGAGGCCTTCAGTGGCTTTCTGAACCCCATCTTTTCTGTGATGCCTCAAGACGACAAGACTGTTGGATGCTTAGGGGCTCCTATGCCAAATTGGTGGCTGTGGCTGTGGCTCGTATCGTCCTTGAGCCACTGATGAAATCAAATTTCATGCTAGAACCATGTCCACAGAATACCGTTTGTGGGGTCCATGCTGAGGTACCCATGTTTGCTCCAATAACTCTTTTTTTTAAGGGATTATTTTTTAGGAAAATCACATCTGCCTTGAAACTCCTTTCATTGGGGCAGAAAGAATCAAATCTGCCTGAAAGCCTAATAAATAATAATAAATATACATGTCACTTACATGTCGTTTAACCAACAGTTTTCCAGTTTTCCCCTGTTTTTGTTCACCTTTTTTGCTCCATGAATTGCGCCATGGGATCTCATGGGATGCCATTGATCCCAGGAGTCGCCCTCAACGGTCATTGGCAATCCCTATGTCGACCTTGCACCACCGGACCGGTGCTCGTGGTTTGCGGTGAATCTGGTGATTGTGGGGGAGTTATACTATCTAGCTTCGATATTCCTATGAATTACTTGTAGATAGTTACTACCTTGGATATTCTTATTACTTGTAGATAGTTACTATAATATGGATATTCCTATTAGATATTGGGACTGTAATAATCCACTGGGAAATCCTCACCAACCAATAGAAATGGCATAAGAATTCCAGGTTTTTCAAGGGTGTAAAAACCTCTCCGAGGACGGGGTGATGCAAAGGATTACTCGGAAAATGGGGATGTATTTAAGGAATTGTTGAAAAGTGTATTCAGGATTTACATGGATTTATCCATTTTAGATTATTTGGCAATCTTTCAAATTATGTTT